CAGCTCGTCCTCGTTCAACATGCGCTGGAGCTCCTCACGCGCCTCAACAACACGGTCGCGATCGTTGCTGTCAACGACGAAGATGATACCCTGGGTGTTCTGGAAGTAATGCCTCCACAGAGGACGGATCTTGTCCTGACCGCCGACATCCCACACGGTGAACTGAATGTTCTTGTACTCGACGGTCTCGACGTTGAAACCTGTAGGTCGAAGAATCAGCGCATTGTCCTGATTGAGCTCATGCTGCACATCGCGACGTACCGATGGTGGGGATGGTGGTGACGATTTCACCGAGCTTGAGCTTGTAGAGAATGGTGGTCTTTCCGGCAGCGTCAAGACCGACCATGAGAATGCGCATCTCCTTCTTTCCCCATAGCTTATCGAACAGCTTCGAAAATGTGAGACCCATGATTGCGGTGGGTGTGTGTGGTAGTGTAGGGCGGGTGAGTTGGGAGGCGGTGTATAGACTCTCGAACCTGCGACACTAGTTGTCAGAAGAGGGTTGAGGAGAGTATCGTGGCCTTATCGGCTGGTATTGAGCACGGTGACGGGAGTCGCATGGCCGGCGCAGCCATGTTGAGCGCCCGTTGCGGAGTCGACTCGAGGCCACGAGGGAGCTGGCCAGGCGCCGGCTACGGGTTGGGCAAAGCAAACGCAGAAAAAACAATGCAGCAGCGATTGACTTACGGACAGGTTCAAGAGAGTCGGTGGTATTCGGGGATGGGGCGGGTGGATGTGATGTACTCTAAACGATGCACAGGAAGGGCTGCGTTGAAGAGATGTGGTGGAAAGCGCGGCGAAGTCTGGGCACTGTTCGTAAGCTGGCAAGTGCCACGGACACGTGACAAGGGCGGCGATCGCTTATCGTCGTTTTGTTGAAGGAGTTGCGGTGAGAGGCTTCTTGCTTTCAGCTATTCCTTTATTTGGAACGCTTCTTATGATCGCTACTAAGAACTTGACACGTTTTGGCTCTCCTGAAGGCCGGATGTGGAACCCAAGGCACCCATTTATGTTCGGTTGGGCGATCAGCTGCCCCGGGATTGCGTGAGCTCCAGGACCCACACCTATCCGCACTACTGACTGGGCAACCGCTGTATACTGACGTCTGACCAACGCGACGTGTAGTTCGTGAGATATCTGGGTCGCATTGATCAATGCGCATGCGATTGTCTTTCAGGGTGACCGAGGGACGCGGACCACCCAGAACACCTTGAAGTCTAGCAACGGGACGGTATGGCCCCTCAACATCAGTAAGTCGAGGCACATTCTCCTGGTTTAGGCATCAATACTTCCAAGAGAACAACATCACATCATCGAGTGGACACATGGTTATTGCAAGGTAGCATTGACATTGATGTCGTATCAGCTAATTTCGCCGTATCCTCGTCACCCGCATCCGTCTTCTGCTCCGGTCGTTCATCTAGCTTGTCGCTCGAGTACCTCGACTACCCTGACTCCATCCGCGAACCTAGACCTCGGTGGCCATGGCTCCGGCAGCCCGGATGATAGTGCGGAAGCACAGCGAGACGCTTGCAATCCAAAGGCCACTGCGAACAAGTGTAGGCGCCTGAGTCGAAGTGGTGATGTAGGCAGCAGTGTAGGCGACCCTGACAGCTAGGAACGAAGCGCTGAACGAAGCGAGCTCGCCCTGCGGCAGGCCAGCCATGTTACCGAGGATGACGGCGCCCATGAAGAGAGGAAGGTTCTGTTACTGTTAGTCTGACAGCCATGTCAACAAGGGTCGATCCAAATCTCACCTCCATCCCGTTGGCATGGCAGGCCTCCATACGTTCGTACTTGGCGTAGGTCTCAGCGGGCAGGCGCTTCTTGAGCTCGGCCTTCATGTCGTTGGAGCGCGGGCTTCGGTTGTCCCACTCGAGGAGGTTGCCCCGAGTAGCGACACCCACAGCGAGAGCGTGAGGCAGGAACGAGACTGAACATGGAGAAGCTAGGTTAAACTACCGATCGAACGTAATCTCTCAAGGACAGCTTGTACATACGGATGAGGTAGGCTGGAATCGCCAAGACCGAAGCGTTGTAGCCGTCAAGGAAGGAAGGCATGTTGTTCTTGCGAGTGTCTGGCTGTTGTTAAGGTGTCGTGTGTTGGTAGAGGAAGAAGGAAGCTCTGTTGTAAGCGAGGAGCTTTATTCGTCTTGTGGGGCTGTATTCCGCGGTGACTGCCTTAAGAAGTGAGCATCCCAGGTGAAGTGAGAGTGACCAGCAAGGGTGCTCTTTCCTCGCGAGTACATGTTCTACGACCCGCGGTGACACCGCTACGTGAATGTGGAAGTCGCGCAGTCACGGACAACAGCGCTACACCTCATACAAGGAAAAGATCGATCAGGCCTGCAGCCTACATTAACATAGAAACATGCAAATCAGATAGCCTAAGGTCTACGCTCCAGGGTGTTCAACTTTCTCCATGAATGAGCTGGCTAGGTCAGATCGTGAAGACATTGCGCACTCAACCTCAGGTGTCTATAGGGCCACAGGGTGTACGAAAAAGACCCTGCAAGGGTCTCAAGAACTCTGGAGGAGGCAAGTGAATTGATCCTTGGTATCCGGCAGGCTATCTCTACAGCTCGCTGAGTGTCACTGCGGGGCGGGATGTATGCCCCACCTCCAGGGTTGTCACCATACCCATCGTCCCCTCCGTACATTTTTTTCTCCACGCTATACCTTCATCTAGCGATTACATCCATTGTTAATACATTGCACAAACACACGATACGTCACGATTGTCCGGAAATACCGCCTCAACGATACCAAGCCTTGTTCAGCCGATCAATATGGACGTCGCGGAAGATGCTTCTCGAGAAGTTTGTGCTGTCTGTTGGGGAGTTTGCGGATTCGCATCAAGCAGAGAGAATCTTGAGATGGCCAAAAGTCAAGAGGGTCTCACTTCATCTTGTCGGGCGCGAGACTTACTTGCAGCATCAGCCCAATGTGAAATGTGTGACTATCTGTTCAACCACGCCCAAGAGGGCACCGATCGTTTCGACCTAGATGCAAGAATCGCCATCAACATACAGTTTTTTAAGCTCGGGGGAGTAGAGAGTTTTAAAGGTTCTGTCGATAATATAAGGATTTTTACGACGATAGAGGGGAAAGATTCACGTTGGTCGAAAGACTCATACTGGTCGGAAGAATTGGGGTTTATTACATGGTCGGTTCTGGCTCACCGTGGTTCGTATCCCGCCCGCAACCATGACTTAGCGTCAACTGACATGGTTTGTGATGCTCAGATGATCCTGCGGCAGCAGAGATTAAATGTTCTCCAGTCAATTACGACGTCAGCTCTAGCATCAAGCAAGCGAAGTCATGGATTGAAGAGTGCAAGCAGCTTCACAAGCACTGTCCCGAACCCGCTATTCCTCTATTACCAACAAGAGTATTAGATGTCAGCGAACAGGCTATTCGACTGCATATCTCCAACGGCGAACGGTGCCATTACTGTGCTCTAAGCTATTGTTGGGGTGGTCCACAACCGGTACGGACATTGGGCGCAAACATAGAAAGCCACAGAACCGGCATCCAAGTCTCAGCTCTACCACAAACTATACAGGATGCAGTATCTTACACGCGGAAATTGGGGGTCAGGTATCTGTGGATTGATTCGCTCTGTATCGTTCAGGACAGCGTAGATGACAAGCGTCAAGAAATTGCGTGCATGGCAAGCATTTATCAAAATGCATTTGTCACAATTGCAGCTACGAACGCATCAAGATGTGTAGACGGCTTTCTATCGACAAGATGCAGACCGAGTTACGAAACCTTTGTCGGAGATCTTCCCTGGAGCTGTCTCGATGGTAAACTTGGGAAGGTGTCCTTGCACCGTCAATATTCTGAAAAACCACGCGAGGAGCCACTCGACGGAAGAGCATGGGCCCTGCAAGAACGTCTACTTTCTCCACGCGTACTATCCTTCTCCTCACAACAGCTAGTGTGGGAGTGCCAAACCGTCAGATACACGGATGGAGGAAACCCTGAGTCACAGGGACTCTTTGAGATGGGCAAAATCAGAACAGAACCGTCTATGTTATCACCATTGACAGCTGCATTGGTTTCGAAGTCTCCGCACAGTATGTCCGCGCATGAAGTATGGAGAAACGTCGTGAAAGGCTTTACTCGGAGGGAAATGACTGAAGAAGGCGACAAGCTTCTGGCAATTTCCGGCATTGCCCAGCAACTCCATCTCATGACGGGAGACGAATATCTAGCTGGGTTGTGGAAAGCATCTCTAATTTCCGAGTTGATGTGGTCCCACGACTTGATGTTCGACGTTGCCAAAGGTCCCCAACCCGCTAGACGACCCGAGACATATCGTGCGCCATCATGGTCATGGGCTTCTGTTGACGGAGCTATCGAATTTTGTGGGTCAACGATGAAGCCAGTAGCAGAAGTCGTCCAGTGTGAGGTCCTCTTGGCAAACTCGAGAAAGCCATTTGGGGCTGTCATTGATGGTCATTTGGTAATACGAGGGCCGTTACGTTCGCTGGAAATAGACGAAGTTCTCCAGTACTTCGATCTGGGCCCTACTAAATTTACAGGGGCAAAAATACCCAGAATGATCCTAGACGGGAACGGAGTTTTGCCAGTCTCCAGTGCAGTATCGCTGCCCGACAGCATTTCGGGTGATGCTCATGTCGATCAGCGCATATGGTTACTAGAGACGGCTCGCTACCACGCATATCCTTGCGGCTTTGTCCTTCGCCAGGCTTCTCAGGAAACTCATCGATCATTCCGTCGCATTGGCTGGTTTGATACTAGTTCGACATGGTTTGACGCAACATGGTGGACCCGCAATTTCTCCACAGAAACAATCACGATAGTTTGAAGAAGATTAAAAGCCATTCCAGCTCGAAGGGATGGAAGGATACGCGAATGCCAACACACGCTTGATATCCCAAACTCCGAGAATCCCAAAGACTGCTCCATGTGTGTACTATAAGATGGCTACATGTCATTCAACACTCCTTCAGCAAAGCTTCCAATTCCTTCTAGAGATCGGCAGGTGGCAGAGTATCTTCACATATGTAACGCACCAGACAGCCTGTCGGCCCACCGACGCACTCCTGATACGGCTCACATTCTGCGCACGGCGGTTCGAAAGACCTACAATACTCTGGGTTGGTACATGTAAGGCCCCGACAATCTGTAGCCTGCGGCCTCAACCCCGTCTTGTCCTTTGGCTTCGAGACCATCGTGCTCGGATCGAGAGGGACAATGAACTCAGGAACAGTCCACAGCTGAGCTTCATCGGTCACTGCAAGTCCGTCGACGCCGGCCCATTTATCGCGCTGGTCAGGGTACTTCCAGGCGACGAATTCTTCGACGTGATGGGCGGAGAGTTGAATGTAGTCAACTACTTCGGTACGAGCGGGGTTGAGTCGGCGCAGAACTCCGTCATATCCTAGCACACGGACGCCATTATCACTCTTGAGCATCATGAGGGCATCGCGGAGGGACTGAGCATGTATGTCAGTATCAATTATTTGCGCTGTATGTTTCGTGCAGACATACCATTGCGTCGTCATATTCAGTAGGGAGACTTCGAATTCTTCCCATGAGTAGAAATGTCGCCGTTGCAGATAGGGCAGTTGAGAGCTTCATGGTAACAGCAGATGACACAGTGTTGTTAATGGATACGATGTAGAAATCTGGCTCGATAGATCGTGCAGTTCAACATAGACGAAAGTCCATACTTTATAATCTTCAGCTTGACTCGTCGAGGTGCACGCAGAGCGAAACGAGCCACTCACGACTTCCGCAACATCGACGACCTTGACGAAAAGATACTCTCACGAATGAGAGAAATCGCAAGTATAATACACTCTCGTCGAGGTGCTTGAGAATCAGCGCACCCATGCTACATACGTCGGCATCATCGTCATTGTTGGCAATCCGAACGGTCTGAGTAAGCGAAAACGGAGCGTTAATATAAAGTCACGTACACTGCGTCTCGCTTCTTGCTTTTCCCCTCTTCGCATCGACTGTGCCACGCCCAGGCAGCTCTACGCAGCAACAAACTCCCAATCACCAAGTATTCACCGTAAGCATTCCTTCTTCACTCCCTTGACATGCTTGATCTCTAACACAGGCTATATTGTCTCTCAGCCTAAATTGCCTCATTTCAGGACTGAACAGCAGATCGCGCATCATGTCGACACCCCGTCCGGAGGTGCGACCAGATCAAGAAGTAGCGGGGAAACACGAAGACGATCCTGCCTCTTCAAGTCAAGCAGAGCCACAAGCTGCAGAGCATGACGATGTCACTCCAGACGGTGCTGCCCCAGCTGACATAGAGGGCCAGCCCAGTGCCACGGATGAGCTCCGCGAGGTACTCAAATTGTTGAAGAGACCACCGCACAGTAATCACACCCGAGGTCTCTGCAACGACGGCCTTGTCAGATACATGGTCTGGTTACCAACACCAGACGATGAAGTAACTCGCCAAGGCGTATACGATGCCCAGCCGTTATCTCCTAGGATGATCAAGCGGTGGCTTGACCGGAAGCCATGGAGCCAGGCAGTCGAGGATCGCTTCCGCGGAGTAGACGGGCGAAATGTTCCCAAAGAGTAAGCCGTACCTAGTTATGTCCATGCAGTATGCATCTCATTCAGATTTGCTGATCGTCTATGTTGTGTAGACAATGGTTAAATCCGCCTCCGGGGGTGTTGCCGTTCCCGGGAACGCTTAATGAGCGCATGGCTGCGATTGAGCAGAACCAGTTAGAACGGAAGGAACAACAGAAGGAACTCGAAGAGAAGATTGCGCGTGGAGAGATTGATAAGTCTGCCCTTGAAAAGCATTGTACAAGCTGGGACGTAATAAGTGACTATAATCTTGATCCACGCTAGGGTGATTGATGAGCTCAGCATCAGCTTCTGCTGGGCAAAGAAGTTCGGGTGCTACAAGTTGTGCCCAGAATAGCAAAACCTACCATGAAGTCATTCGTTCAAATCTTCGCCTAGAGATTTAGGCCTGATGACAGTGTGTTCTTCAAACAACTTTAGGATGTAAATACGACTCGCTCAGAACCGAATGAGGACGCGCATAAAGACAGTCGGAACGAATGTCTCGTAGTCTTCAGAGAAAGTTGAGCAATAGGAAGATGACGCAGGAAAGTATTGGCAATGCCAGATCTAGAAGTGTCAAGACCGACAACGTCACCGCCCACTGGGCCAACCTGGACAGCTGCCACGACCTGCAACCCTCCGTGAGAGTGATGAAAGAACAGATTCAAACATTCGGGGTGTGATGAGAAGATAAGAAAATTAAGGAGGTGTATGCTTTGCATGTCGGCGGCTTCGCGCCGGCCGACTCCCGTTCCGGGACCCACTTAGCGCAGGCAGATACTGTACTGTACACTTTCAGATCGATCTGACAGGGTCTAGGACACCTTTTTCGATGCAAGCAGATCTCCACCTTCGACAACAACGCCCATATCATCTTGGCGAGCTTACGCGTATCTAGGCGTGTACAAAGTGCAGGTGGTGCTGGCGACTCCCAACGCTACCTTCCCTGGGCAGGCCTTAGCCCACATGAGATGACATCAGAGAACCTGAAATGGTTCGCAGGTGGCTGGGAGCCAAAACTAGATCACTGAACAAAAAAGCACATGCACGTCGAGCAAGGAAGAAAATGAACAAATTTGCAGACTACACTAGGATAAGGCAAGCAATTTGGAAAATCTGGTGTCAATGTAGGCTCCAGGGTGTTCAGTTTTCCCTTGTATGAGGTGCATGTACCTGGATGTTGACGTGTGCAGCGGACGGAAAAGGATACTTCCAGACTGGTCTCAGATCTCGAAATCCCGGTACAAATGACTAGGTTCCTCGACGGCGTGGCGGAGAGTATACCGAAAGAAAAAGAATGGGGATTTCGCTGCGCATCATGACCTAACGGGCGTTGTGGGTTCATTACCGTGGGTTCAATGCCGAGAGAGCCTCCTGGATGTATGACAACATCGCAACATAGCGCAACATGTTGAGTCAAGCGTCGGAGTTCTTGAGGTGCGTTTCTGCGAGATGGAAACGATGGACTTGGCTTTACGTAGAAAGAATGGGGTCGCGTTTTGCATAAAGAGGAAGAGGCTCCCGGCTTGAAAAAAGCACATACAGACACGAACAGCTTCAACTTCCTCTTCTGAGCTTCTAGTTATTCCATCAATCTACAGCAATCATGCCCAGCTCTTCGCAACAACCTCTTCGCCAATCTGGCATCTATCATAACCTTCCCACCTTTGACTCGAGCGCAAGGGATCTGAAGGCCATAGTATGCGGAGCAACTGGAATCTCAGGCTTCAACACCATCCGCTCTCTCCTCGACACGCCCGACCGCTGGTCCAAGATCTACGCCCTATCCCGCTCGCCAATCTCCAAAGAGCTCCTCTCTTTCCTCACAGACGAGCAGCGCGCCCGCCTACAGCACATCTCCATCGACCTCAGCTCCTCCAGTGATGAAATCGCCAAATCACTCAAAGAAGCCGGTGCAGAAGCCGACTACGTCTTCTACTACGCCTACCTCCCTCCCGGCAACGGAAAAAGCGACATGGACCCCAGTTCCGCCGAAGCTCTAATCGAAGCCAACGTGCCCCCCTTCAAAAACTTCCTCGGCGCCCTCCCAATCGCCAACATCAAGCCCAAACGCTTCTTGCTACAAACTGGAGGAAAGAACTACGGCATGCACATCGGCCGTGGCCGCAACCCCATCGTCGAATCTGACCCCCAGCCCAAACACCTCAGTCCAAACTTCTACTACCACCAAGAAGACCTGCTGTTCAAGTTCTGCAGAGAACACCCCGAAACAAGCTGGAACATCATCATGCCCGCGGCTGTCATCGGCGCCGTGCAAAGCGCAGCCATGAACACGTTTCTCGCATACGGCGTTTACGCCGCTGTCCAAGCGCACAGGAAACAACCTCTTCAGTACCCCTCAGACTTCCACAGCTGGCAATCCGGATACACGCATTCCACCGCGCGTCTAACCGGGTACCTGAGTGAATGGGCGGTGTTGGAGGACTCGGCCAAAAACCAGCGCTTCAACGCTCAAGACGGCGAGCTCATCAGCTGGGACCGATTCTGGAACGAGCTTGCCCGTTGGTTCGGCGTCGACACTGTGCTTGGTCCTGAGGAGGACGAGTCAAAATACGAGAGCAAGTACTTCGCTGGCGGTAAGGACTGCCCACTTGGCTACGGTCCCCCCATTGAGCTCAAACTCGCACACTCGCTGTGTAAATGGGCGGAGGACCCTGCGGTGCCGAAGGCCTGGGAGGAGATGATGGAGCAGTCGAACGGGCAGCTGACGGTCAATATCCCCGAGACGGATAAGCAGACGTTGGTTATGGCGGACTTTTCTTTTAGCTATCTGGGTACGCTGTCTGGCACTAAGGTGCGCAAGTTTGGGTTCAGTGGGTTTGTGGACACTATAGAGAGTGTATTTGAGACGTATCAGGATATGGCGAAGCTGGGTATGTTGCCGCCTATGAAGGTCGATTCTGCGAGGGGGCTTGTGTAGGGGTAGCTGGTGGCTGTTTCTCGTCACTGTGGCTCCTCGCTCCTCGCTAACAACCATTTGGACAATTACTCTCAGATAGACTCCTACATGCTAGATATGAGTGGCCATGCTGAATGCAAATCTACATCAAATCCTTCACCCGCTCTTCGCTCTCCCTGATCCACTGATCCAGCAGCTGCCTATTCCTCGGCTTGAACCCGACTTTGAAGTACTTCGGTTCCAGCGTCAAACTAGTTGGAATATCATTCGCATCAAGACAGTCCATGATCGCTTCGTCCCGAGGGTCTACCGGCGGCGTAAACTTGAAAGCTGAGATCAACCTCACAAAAGCAGTAAACAGCTCGCGGTTAGCGAGATGCGAACCAACGCACATACGTGAGCCAGCGCCGTATCCGTAATGTGGTGTTCCCGCACCATCTGGAACGTCGAGGTAGCGCTCTGGATCGAATTTCTCCGGGTTCTTGAAGTGCTCTGCGTCGTAGTCGGCGGCGTATGCATTCATGTAGAAGGTCGTTCCCGCTGGGATGTTGACGCCATTCCATTCGATGTCCTTGATCGAGACCCTGGGGAGGCAGATGGGTATGACGGTCCAGTATCGCAGTATTTCTTTGTATAAAGCGGTGATGTACGGGATCTTCTCCTCGTGGAGACAACGCTCCCAGGCATCGTTATTGGGGTATACTTTCATGATCTCATCGTATGCGCGTTGTTGAATCTTCTGACCTTCGGGGGTTGCGAGTTGTGCGATGCCCATGATGAGGTTCCCTGGTACGGTATCAAGACCTGCCGATACCATGGTCAAGCAGATTGACTTGATCTCGGCTGTCGTGTGTTAGTGCGAAAAAGAATGAGGGGAAAAGCTCTCAACATACCTCTGTTCAGCTTCGCATCTGGGTCCTTCATGATATTGCCAGTGATGCAAGGCTTATCCGTACCCTTCTCAATCTTCTCGGTCAGTGTGTTGAGAAGCTTGTCCATGTACACATCTCGCCTCTTTCGGAAGCTGTTCGCCTCGTTGCTCTGGCTGGGGAAGAGTCTCAAGAGTGGCACATAGTCTTGCCAGTTGTTGCTTGTCGATCTGAAGTTTCCTACACCACGCTCAACCTCCACGATCTCCTTCAGCAGAGGCGCGTCCTTGTTTCCGTCTATCCTGTACCCGTAGTTGAGCGTCAAACTGGTGTTCAACGCATATCGCTGCCAGTATGGTCGTGGGTCGAGATCCAGCTCTCCACCCTTGCTATCGTACAGTAGTTCTTTTATTGAGACTGTGGATTCGAGATCGATGAGTGGCATGTAGGATTGTACAGCAGGACGGTTGAGCGCCGTGGCAGCGGCCTTGCGACGGTTCTTCAGGGACTCATCCCACGGTGAAGTACCGATGGTGAAACCTTGGGAAGAAGACACCACTTTGTGGAACGTGTGGAGCATAGGTCGAGAGATCATCGCTGACTGGTTTGTGATCCAGAGATGGCGGACGGAATCGAACGAGTTCGCGAATACGATCCTCTAGATACTCGTGTTAGCATTGACGCTTACAAAAGTATGCTGACTCCATGCGAGATCCAAACTTACCCTGTTTCCCATCCTCACCTGGAAGACAGGACCATACTTCTTCGCCCATCTTTGCGCGACTCTCGCATGGTTCGTACCAAGCTCGTGCAAGCTTCCAAAAAGAGGTAGGCCAGGGACTTCTGGCAGTCCCTTAATATGTGGTGTATCAGTCCCATAGAGCAATCTATACAAGAAGAACCCCAAGACAGCAACGCCGGCGATGTAGATGGGGATAGTCATTTTCTCGACAAGACTCGAGGTCAATGAGAAGACGTGAGAGAAGTGGAAGAGGAAAGTTCGCAACTCTAGAGCAAGAGCGAACCCTAAACAGGCCGGCAGCACTTATAGCAGTGAGAGACCTCCGATGCCATGCGCTTTCTCGTAGGAGGAGATCCCTAGCTGGACACGCCGTTCCGAGGTCAGGCTCAGCATGATTAGCCTCCGTTTGACTGGCCACGAAGGATCCGAGCTTTGATTTCGATGGAGTAAGCCCATTGCTGCGGGGCATCCGCCGCCTGTGTCATGGTGCGCGCAGAAGCGTATGTTGATGCAGCGGAATAAAGCCGCGAATTGATGGTGTTGATGCTAGTGTCAGGGTGCGGAGACGGACGCGTTGTGGAAACGGCTAACTGCTTCGGGAACAGATGATGGGCGCGACAAGCTTTCAGTGGGACGATGGAGCTCTTTGGCGCTCACATCGAAGTCTGGTAGCGGAAAGACCCTCAGAATCATATGCCAGTGGTATAGGTAGTATTGTCGGCCTCTTGCGCGGCCCCTGCCAATTTGCGAC